GATCAAACCAGTTGAGTCCCATGTTAAGGGTCCAAGGTCGAGAACAAGTTGAAGGATTGAGAATGCGACACCGTCTCATACATGTGCATGTGTATACTTATAAGTGGATGGAATAGGTGAGTGATCTGCTGTTCGTGTCAAACATGAGCGCATGTGGCGATGTGTGTGTGTATGTATGTGTGCGTGTGTGAAACGAGGTGCTCGTGCTCGAAACCAACAAACAAGTTATATAAGCGTGTGTGCGCTTGCATGTCGTTTTGAGGATCAAATGAAGTAGGGACACTGGCTTATATATAGACTAAAATGTAAGAACTACGATGACAAATGTATGGGAAAGCCACACGGGACAATCGAGTATGAACGGGAAGCGCCGGGGTGTCGATCAATAATGGGACGAGTAAGATGAATCACGAGAACCGTGTAGAGTGCACTTCGAATACGACACTCGATGCTGACAACGATGCCACCGATCACAACGGATATCAGCATAAAAATGATGTTGTGAATGAATTTGCTGTCATCGTTTTAGAACAATTTAAAAAATGAACAATTAATCACTTTCTTAGAGGTGTATTTCACAAAATGATTATTTTTGTAAGGTTGCTCGCTTGTGGATGAATACATTCATACAGTTTTCTAAACTGATTTCGAGTGTAGACAATAATTCATGGTTAATATAGTCTACTCACATTCACCCAGAAGTGTAATGTGCTTCACTCCCTAAGCCGCATTATGTATCCTTCTTCTTTGTCTTGTTCTTTGACATATCATCAGGCCACCAAAACAACCGAGTTGGAACTTCATCCCAGTTGGGAAAATTCCAGCCTGGAATCACTCGCGTCTGAGACCGAATCAGTGGTCTCGAATGCCGAGGGGAACGAAGCGGAAGGTGAACTCAGTGAGGATGCCGAGCGGAGAAGGAATTATAGCGATCGAACAAGTGATCACAGGTTGCCCCAAATTGATCCGAACCGAATCTATTTTCATTTCAATCCTGTGGTCCAAATTTATCCGAATCAAACTCCATGGCGTGTTCGTTCCACAATCCGCAGCAAAACGGATCATCAGACCACGGACACAGAAGTGGTGCATGTGATCGCCAAGAGTGATTTCAAGAAAAGTTCAACTACACACCTAACAGATGATGATTTGATACACCGACGACCGTTATCGGCCGAGCCCATTCTGCTCAGAAGCATGTCTGCGGACAAATTTGTGGAAATGCGACAAGCATTCCAATCTATACGTCGTAACCGAACCTCCTCGTCATCATTGTCTGATTTGCAAACATTCAGTTCGTTGAGTGATTACACTGAATTTGATGAGCATAGAGCTCGGATAGTTCGATCGGCCAGTGATGGTCCGACAGGATTAAACTCAGTCACAATGCTGTCGACGGTCGTTCCGGTCCTAACGGAATCGGTCAGTCTGGGTAGACTGGGACCAACAGATCGATCGATCATCACTCAAGGCCGACCATCCCGTCATCGTGGTTCCCTATCCATTCATGAGAACGTGCAGGAATTGTTGGCACCATCGGCCAAGCACATGTATATGGAAGAGCTACCGGGCATGCAAAATGAACCGGCTGAGGAGAAAGGAGATGGCACAGAACGTGTTGATGAAGACGATGAAGCGGATCAGTCCTCTACCAGGATGGCTATCACCGGCCGATGCGAGGATGTTCTGTTAGCGTCAGGCGACCCGAATCCGATGACTTGGTTTGATATATTAGATGAGCGATTAGCAAACTGTACACAACGCACCACATTCCGAGAGAAACTGATAGCCCAATTTCGACTGAAAGGTTTACAGAAACGGTTCGTCTCCATTCCGCATGGAATGTATGGATTGCAACGAGAACTGGAAAAAGGATGGGATATTCGTCCAAAGCCGGAATTACTAATGAGTTGTGTGGTAAAGCACCACGTGTTAAAAATGCCATTGAGCACACCAAATCCACAATTGGTGGAGAAGATTTATACAAATTCCATTGTTCGTTACCCACTGCTATACAAGTTGATTATGCGCCGACGAGAAATCCTGCCACAAGAACTCCAACAATTTCTCAATCGAATTATGGAGATGACCGAGACCTCGGATCGGATGTTGGCTTCTATCACATCATCGACCACCAAACTGACTGCAGTGACTACAGCAGCCAAAGAAATGGATGCTTCTGGATTTATGACTGGGGGACCAAAATTGAAACAGAATTATCGGGAGTCACGGAGTTCCGTCACCTCGATAAATCGAACTCGTCCTACCCGAGCGTCAACTGGCAGTCGTACGGCGATTTCCGTCCCGTCAGATCTGGATGTGATGTACAGCGAGACCCCAGAAGGGATACCGAAACCGAATCCGGCGAAGAAAGATGCCGGATTTTGCACTCTGTACGCGAAAGAAACCGATTTCGATAAAGGTTTCTATACGGTGCTGCGAAATCCATGCACAAATATTCTTGAAGAAGTTGCTTTACACAACCCCGAATTCGCGTGGCACGTGAGACCCCTATTTGAGCATCGTTGGG